TGAGTGGCTTAGCAATGCTTCCACTTTCCCTAGCACACACGCACACACACACACACACACACACACACACACACACACACACACACACAACACACCCACACACACACACAATACACACACAAGCACACAAATACACAATGCCCACACATATATACACACAACACATACCTACACACACACACACACACACAAATATACACATACCTACACACACACACACACACACACACACACACACACACACACACACACTGTGTATATATAATTTGCCAGCTGTTTTTAAATTGCAGAGCTTTGTAGTTAGTTGTAAGAGTGACAGGCTGTATGAGAAGCCTAAGACTTTAACACTCTGGCCCTTTATAGAGATAATTTTTGTGTATTAGATAATAGGCTATGGGGCTAAAAGCCATGGTTCAGATGCTTTGCTTGGTTATTACCTAAGTGACCTTGGGCAAGTGGTATCACTTTGAGTTTTATCCTTCTACTTATAAAATCCTGTTTATATCACAAGGGATCATGAGGCTAACATTAAAAGTCAGTAGGAAATGCACACAGCACCTGTAGACCCACATTTTGGTCAGGGGGTGGCTTTAATATCCATCTTGTTTTCCCTCCAGGAGGTTCTTGGTGGTGTTGGGTTAGCCTTAGCCCCAGATTTTCTGTTTGTTATCAGTTTTCATATGCATTTCTGTGTAGGTTGGGCAGAGGATAATCTTGGGTGTTGTTTTTTAGGTACTGTTTCCCTGTTTTTTTGAGACAGGATCTCTCATTGCCAGGTAACTCACCAAATAGGCTAGGCTGGCTGTACAGTGAGCCCCAGATACCTGCCTTTCTCAGCCTCTTCAGCACTAGGATTGTAAGATTGTATCACTATGCCTATTTCCCCTCCTCCTCCTCCTCCTCCTCCTCCTCCTCCTCCTCTCTGCTCTTCCTCTTTCTCCCTCTTTTTCCTCCTTCTTTTTCCTTTTTCTTCCTCGTTCTCCCCTCCTCCTCCTCCTTCATGGGTTCTGGGGTTGTAGCTCATGGACACGTGCTTTTCAAGTTAGCACCCATTTTACCAACTGAACTAGCTCTCCAACCCAGTAGTGAATATTATTTATGAAAGCCATGGCACTGCCTTTAAGATAAGGCAAAGGCTCATAGGAAGTCCACAGGAAATGGAAGTTGCTGGGTTTTGTTCTCAGCTTCCTGTCTGTCATCGTTTGCTAGGGCTCCCAAGCATCTCGCAGAATCGAGCAAATCAGCACCCGGCTCTGTCTGCACCCGCCTTTGCAGTGCCAGCCAGCCCCCCCAGTACAGAGCGAAGATGACAGCGCCAGGAAGGAGGGGCTCTAAAGAGTCTCCTCTTCCCACATCTTGGCACCCAGCCTAAACCCTCTGCTAGCTGAAAGGGTGCCAATCTGCCCAGCACGTTTGAATTTGCAAATTGTCTCCTGTTTACTATCAGAGGTTCTGTGACACTGAAGCTCTTTGTGGGCTTTCCTGCTGCTGTAATGAGTTCTTCTGGGAAGCCGGCCTTCAGGAATCTCAGTGTGTAAGTAAGAGGCTGCTTCATCTGTAGGTGAACGAGTCATAGAAGGATTTTTCAAGGCTTCTTTTCCCCTGGACTGGATTTGAGCATTTGCAGGTTTGGAGGTGGGGACCGAAGTGGCTGAGTCTTTGAGAGTGCAAGAAAGTCTGGGATTGGAAGCCATTGCTTGTTAAGGGACTCCGATTTGCTGCTCAGCTGTGATGACAATCCGCTCGAGACATGCTGTATTAAAAAAAAAAAGTGTGGCGTGAGTCCAGCGGTTGAAATGCAGACGCCCACATGTAGTTATATTCTTGGGGCCTGGGCCATGTGTGCGGAGACACAGCGTGGTAGAAAGTCGCGGAACTGAAAATAACATATGTCTGTCTCAAGTGCCAGAGGAAATTGTAGTGGTGGTGAGAAGGAGCAGAGTGCAGATTTAGAAAGGGGTAAGAAACGCCTCCTGTGTCGCTGTGGTGTTTATCC